ATATATATAAGTGACAAAACGTGGTGCGAAGTTTAGAATGCCCTGGAAGAACTTTTAAAATCTGAATTATAACATATCCTTATTTTGAAATACACCGAAATCCTTTTTATGAGTTAATGTCAACTGAGTAGTAACGGCTTATCATCAACAAAGTCGTTAAACGTTGAGAATGAGATAAATACAACGACGTAAATCGCAATGTCGAACTGCGAACGACATTACACTTGAATGACATAAACATATGAACCAGCATCACGCACACACAAAAATTGAAAGTTATAGGAATGAATGTGTCGAGAATGTGATCAATTCAAACATAGAACAGTGTGTGCAATAGATATTGATCAAACTCACGCAATGACAGAACAATCAGATTTCGTCAACGCTTATACATAACGATGAGAACTGCATTTTGATCTGATAGTGATACATTGGAACCAACATCAAAATTTATAATTAAAAAATGACCCTAAGGTCAAACATGATGTCTGGATTTCCATGGTTTCAGGAAAATATGCAAGTTTTTGGCATCTTTCGCAATTTCTAAATAGGCAGGTAACTTTCTGGAACTATCTAATATGGGTGTTTCCCTGTAAAGTTGAAGCCAGTGTTTTGTGTTGATGCAAAATGTGCAGCGTACGGTAGGTGTATAGAAATTGATATGTTATTAGGCAAACCTGAGAATACGGTAGGCTCGAAGATGCCTTATTTGGTGGAACTGATATCATTACTATAAAGTGTCGCTCTTTTTCAATAGGGTTATATCAATGAGTGACCTCGATTCCTTCTGACATCTTCCTTATCTTCTTTTCTGAATTCTTTTTGGTCATATGTTGACATGTTTTCCCTTCGCGCTACATAAACTGATAATGGTTATCTTACTTTAATCGCGTTCTGTTCATTCACGGAATTTCTGTACTTCATATTCATAATTCCAAATATTAATTTTTTTGAGATGATCAGGACAAAATGGTTTGGCAGTAAACTGAAATTTATCTTCACTGTTAGTAAAAAATCAATTTCCGCTTACGGATTGATTAATTTCATTAGTGACCAAATAGGCAATTCTTTAAAATGTCTCCTTCGCACTGATAAACTTTTTCAAACAAAACAATTCTCGCAACTAAATGTTCGTTTACTGCTGACTTTAATTTAACCATTTTCATCTCTGTAATCACTTTCAAATCTTCGGATGCTACTCGCTCTTATCTGCTCTCTACTGTTGGAACATCCAAGTCATGGAATTATTTTCCAAGATGCAATGATCACTTTATCTTCATGTTTTTCATCAACTCACTGTTCAATGAGTTTGTTTGAGACCATATTGGAAGAATATTTATTATTGAAAGCACATTTCAAATGGAAATACTATACGAGATACATGAATAAATGGGTAATTATTGCGAAAATTGTTTATAGATGAAACGAGAAACGGTCCAATTGTGTCAGCTCGACCATAACAACATAATGTCATTGTTGTATATACAATTGTTCTTGATTACAATCAAATAAGAGTAACTGTTAAATGACGAACCTAACATTGAAGAAATGGGAACGAAAAAAACAAGGAATGTTTAATGATACAATAAAATGTCTAGTGCGAAACCACTGTGATCGCTTATAATTTTTCTTGAGTATTTCACTGTTTTCATTGGAAATCAATGATGTTGCCAATGCATTAGAAAAACAATTGGTTCCAGATAAAAACATAAGCGTCAACGGATCGCATATAAGAATTCGATAGAGACAATTAATCGTTACTTCTCAAAATTCTCAAATCAGACCGATTGGTTCTAAATTGAATCTACTAAATGGTTCACCATCAGCAGATACGAATATATATCCGCAAGCTGAAAGATATTCACAATTATTCGTTCCATCTTTCAAAAACATTTTTGAACAATTCAGTTTGATGCAACCACGTGAAAGAGAAGCGATCAAAAGATATGGAGAAAACGGCGAAGAGACGATTAAAAACTGACCGATTGATAATGATCATCGAATATCACTGCATCATGAAACGATAATCAAAGAATAAGTACATCAAATGTAAACATAAATAAAAATCACCTTAAAAAACTGCCTAAATGCAACAACGATAACAATAAAAACAATCATTCAAATAGAGATTGCGAAAAAACACTCACTCGAGCAACGCATAGCGATAATGTGATTGCAACAATGATACATATATATTCATCATTTTTTGTGATAGTTTCAATGAACCTATATGTATATAACTGTCAGCTAACATGAGAGGAATGCGCTTAGTGAACAATAGCAGAACCGCAGTTGATTTTCATAGGTAACTGACTAATTTTCACAGGAATCGAACAAAAAATATTGTACGTTGCCACTATGGAAACTTTTAAATGTGTTCCTACTTTTAGTTCTCCAAATAACAACGATTTCGACAACAAATAAAGGCATCTTAGGCTCACTCATTATATAATGAATATTTGTGAAGGATAGCAACTAAGAATAAGAGTCAATGATTAAACTCCAAACAGCTATCACAAGTGAAAAGGTTTCGCCGTCAGTTTTCTTGTACTACGAAACAAATTCTGCGATTTCAACAACCATGAAAATGAAACATATATAATATTCAAGAGCGAAACGCACACACTAATTCACTATGGTGAACAACATTGAACAAGGCAAGTTAAGATCGGTTCGGTTAATAACGCACCGACATTGCGTTAAACGCTTCAAAAAGATCCGCATTAACAAAATGCAAATTTAAAACAGTGCGGGTAATTGAGGATAAATATGAGGTATGCCGAGGCATCAGTTGCTGGTTTTGAGACCTTCAGGTGATTCATGAGAGAGTCGCTCCACATCGTTGAAGCGAACCGCAGTACCGCCACCAGCCGTTGGGATACAATCGCCCTGCAAATAGACATTCTCATTGATGAAATATTCATCTATTAGATGAGCAACGATTGGAATGTTTGTAGCGATCGACAGTGTCATTCGAACAAATCATATTTAGGTTTCCTTCATCAATTCACTCTATGTTCTATTGACAAAACCGCAACAGTCACATTTATTCTACCAGCATTCATTGTGCTCTTATCCGAAAACTATCTTCAGCTGATTTCCAAGAAGGGCCAGCTCGAATAAGAATCAAAGTCCATTTGTTCGAAATCCACTTCCAATTGAACAGTGAAAAAGTGGCGTGCAACATTATAACAGGTAA